AATATGCATCAATAAACAATACTTCATACATAAAAAATGATTTTTAAGGTTTTTATCAAATAATTTATAATATAGTATATATATATATATATATATATATATAATATATACATTTTTTTTCAATAACGGCAAGCAGCAGGATTGTGCCGCTATTAGTTTTTCCACTTTCTAATTTCATCTGCTGACCTTATACATCTACCAGACAATGACATAAATCGTTCTCTTGTTTGACTTTTTTTAATTCTATTTATTTTAAATTTTAATTCTTATATATATATATATATATATATATATATAGACTTGGGATCATGTGAGAACAAGGGTTTTTCGTGAGACCCATAAAACCAATTCTCAACCCTTGGATAATCTATAATATGAACATTCATAATCACAAAATTAACACCGTGTAACTTTGGACCATTAGATCATTAGCTTATAAAGTTGATTAATGAACATAAATTGGTCTTACGGGTCTCACGAAAAACCTTTGGTCTCACATAAACCCGAACCCAACCATATATATATATATATATATATTATATATTATATATATTTATTTATATTTACAAATTTCTTGCATATCCAGATGAACTGTTATCAAGATGTTATCATGTTTTTTTTATCTGCACCTGACCCCTCTCTTTCTATATATATAAACCAGCAAAGGGTTAAAGATTTAAGCAGTCAAACTCTTGGAAGAAAATATGGGAGATGAGAGAAAAAGAGGCAAACCTTTGGTGCTGGTAGCAAGTCCATTCCAGGGGCATATGACTCCTATGCTTCAGCTTGGCAGTGTCCTCCATTCCAAAGGCTTCTCAATTACCATGGTTCACACCAAGTTAAACTCTCCTGATCCTTCCAACCATCCCGAATTCGAGTTCCTTCCTCTTTTTGACAACTTTCTGGCGATCGATGCCTCAGCCAACTTCACGACGTTCCTCGAAGCACTTAACGACAACTGCAAAATGCAGCTTCAAGATCACTTGGCTCAAAAGATTAGAGAAGGAAGAGATGATGAAATGATCACAATCATACATGATAATATCATGTACTTTGCTGAAGAAGTTGCTAACAATCTGAATCTTCCGAGCATCGTCTTGCGCAGTAGTAGTGCGTCGTATGTGCCTGCTTTCCTTGCCCTTCCAAAACTTCATGCAAAAGGGCAACTTCCTGTCAAAGGTTAGTTGGTACCTTTTTTTTATTAACCTGGATATCCAACCCGCTATGCGAGCCGACTAATCCCAGGAGTCACCGCATTTGAACCTCCGTGGCCACAATGGGATTTTTATTCCTCCTTGGATTTGAACCTGGGACCTTCCAGTAATTTTGACCTTTGGAGCCAAACTCAAACCAATCAGGCACCACCCTTGTGGTTGTTAGTTGGTACTTTATGCTTATCATCATACCGTTTTTTACTCTAAACAGTCTCTCTAATCCTTAGGGTAGAGGAAAGGTTTACGTACTTTCAGACCAGGATACGTTTCGTTTGGTTTAGTTTTATCATGTTGTTTTACTGTTTTACTAATGGTTGGGGTAGAGGAAAAATGCATACATTCTACCCCTTTCAGGCCAGTGGGATATACCAGATATGTTTTGTTTGGTTTATCATGTTGTTTTCCTGTTTTATATTCTCTCTAATCCTTTGTGTAGAGGCAATGTCTGCCCACATCCTACCACTTTCAGACCGGTGGGATATACTAACCGGGTAGAGGAAAAGTCTGTGTACATCCTACCCCTTTCAGACCATTTGGTTTATCATGTTGTTTTAATGTAAAGATGCCGGTAAATAGTGAACATTTTACCACTTTACATGACAGATTCTATGTTGCAGGAGCTTGTCCCAGAGCTCCATCCCCTGAGGTACAAGGATTTACCTTTTAACAGAACATCTACAGAAGTTGCAACAGAAATGCTCGCGCTTTCGGAACGTATTAGAACCCCTTCAGCCATTATTTGGAACACCATGGAATATCTCGAATATTCAGCGCTGACACAACTTCGGCAGCGCTATCAGGTTCCGATTTTTGCTGTTGGCCCTCTGAGCAAAATGGTTAGATGCCCATCTACTAGCTTTCTTAAAGAAGACACCAATTGCATTTCATGGCTTGATAAGCAAGCTCCAAGGTCAGTTATTTATGTAAGTTTGGGGAGTTTAGCCACCATGGATAAAACTGAGCTAGCCGAGACAGCTTGGGGGCTGGCCAACAGTAACCAGCCATTCCTATGGGTGGTTAGACCCGGTTCAGTTTGTGGGTCGGTGTGGATTGAGTTTTTCCCAGAAGGTTTTACAGAAGAAATCAGAGGAAGAGGTCTTGTGTTGAAATGGGCACCACAAAAACAGGTGTTGGCACATTCTGCAGTTGGAGGTTTTTGGAGCCATTGTGGTTGGAACTCGACCTTGGAAAGTATTTCCGAAGGGATTCCAATGATATGCCGGCCAGTTATGGGAGATCAATGCGTAAATTCTAGGTACCTAAGTTCTGTATGGCGAATCGGTTTGGAACTGGAACATCTAGAGAGAAAGGTGATCGAGAGTGCAATCAGAAGACTCTTGGTGGACGATGAAGGGAAAGAGATGAGGCAAAGAGCAATCCATATGAAAGAAAAGGCTAAACATTCTTTATGCAATGGAGGTTCTTCATTCAAATTCTTGAATGACTTGGTTGAATTCCTCCTGATTCAAACTAGACTTTAGGATGCGTCTGGTGTGCAAACTACATGGGAATGGATGGCACAAAAAGGAAATAGTCACTTGTTTGGCATGACATGTAACAAAAACAAAATGGGACAAGATGTCCAGTCCTGTCCTGTCTGTGAGTCCGTCCCATCTTGTCTGTGCATCAAACACTACCTTAGAAAGCTCAGATTAGAACACATGTATCAGTACATCTCAAGGTAATATATCAAACAAAAAGGATATTGATCTATTTTAATCCATTTACTTGTGTAATTAATTTAATTATTATGAGCATATAGAAGGTGAAATGCCCGTTTGAGATTCGGGGACTCTAAATTTGTTAGTCTCTCATCTCTAAGAGCAACACTAACAAATAAATACACATCTAGCATAGAGCTTTGTTTTCTAGACTGCTTTTTAATTGCAGATGTGAAATGGTGTCTCTAGGCACCTTGATTGTGCAAGTATCTAAAATGAAAGGAAACTAGAAAAGCGTCTATGCTAATCCATTAACCATTCTAACTGCCTGTTTATTAACAGCTTAATGAGCATAATGGAACCTACAGCTTATTCGGTCATCTATACATGACTGTTTGGTAGTAGCTTAATGATATAGAAAGTAGATTATTCAATATGCTCCTGGGGGGCTTTATGCAGAAAGCCAAGTTTTTCTCCAGAACCTGCACCTCCGAATTAAAAGAACATACTCCTTTCATCTATGAAAAAACCCTCTCAAACACAAATCTTTCTCAATCTATACACACAAGTTTATCGAGTTAATGAAAAAACCAACCACACAGCCCCTAAGAGTACTATATGGAAGCTAAATTGTCGATAGTTAGGTGATTGAAATTGACTCATCGGCCCAGAGAACCGTTGGCCCAGAGAAGGGAAAGTTGCCACTTGTCGTTAAACAACTGGAACCCAAGAAGGAAATACCCTCTTCTTGAAATGAACAATGGACCCCCAAAGAAGAAATAAGCATGTAACTACGGATTACAAGTTGCAATTATTGTGATTGTGACCAAAGAAGAGAGTGCTTCAAGTGCATTCAAATATCTGGTTAGGATTACAATTTGAGCATATATATATATATATATATATATATATACATACATATATATGTATATGTATGTATATATGATCAATTATTGGATTAATAAAAGATGTTCTTGGGGCAATGGTTGTATATATACATATATATCTATACTATCTTATTAAGCAAATTTTGTAAAAGTCTTAAAGTCTTAAAATATTAAATGACCAAAATACCCTTTATACTATTTTACCTCACTTTTTCACCTTCTCCTCTCCTCACATACACTCATTCTCTCGCAATCATTTTTCTAAAACTATAATTTTAAATTTACACTTTATACCCCTATAATTAATTAATTAATTACTTTACGTCTTTTACTTTTAAATATTTCATTTTAAATCTTTATCAAATTAACATACATAATCGTATATCAA